GAGCAAGTACCGAGACTTGCTATTGCCAGTACATCCACAACATGCTGATGTGAGCATGTAAGAAATATTGCTGCTGCACATATAACACATGTGAATAACCCCCCAAAAAGCAGGAGACACGTTACATAAAACAATACAAGCCAATATATGCATGCCGCTGAATATAAGGATAAACTGCTGCATCAGTGGATGTGAGCCTTGGCTACCACGCCGACCGGCTTAACAATAATGGCCTATGTCTATGTGTGCCTGGGCTACCACGCCGACTGGCTTAACTCTAATAAGACACCCACTATGTGTAATGTTAATTAACAAAATGGATATGCGTTGTAATCCGATAGATAAGACCCCAGCATCCACCTGAGCAAATATTATAATTTAGTAATTTAATATCTGCTGTTACTTTCTTCACTTCACCAGTCCCAGTGGCAGCATAACAGCTCGTTAATTCGTGTTCGTGCAATGATGAGATGGACAAAGTTAGCCGATGCATGCCATTTTACTCTCTCATGTAGATAAAGTTATCAGGGTTATAGTGCACAAACTCCTGGGTGGACTGACTTGAATGAACAAATAAAGCAGAATATAAACGCTCTTTCTCTGTTTTCTGAATTACACAACACACGATAGCACATGTCACACAAGCACATTTCTCTGAACTACACTACCCATAATGCATTTCACTCGGAACTGCAACAATCATAACAATAACTCTTAATTCCCTTCTCCTGCAACACTATCGTTGATATGACTGTGATAAGCGTGTGCTTCTGACGCTGCATGCAACTGAAATTAACCACGCACTCATCACAATGAAAACATCGACCTACACTGGGATAATTGCCGATGTATATGGAGAACCCCAGTTGAAATGCATACACAAGACTGCTTATTTCATTTAACCTGTTTTCATGTTCGTTACTATTAGTGTATCCTTAGAGTGATTACAAGCTCTAAACTGCCTTTTGCTCCAGCTGCATAAGCACATGCTAAATGCTGCTGCTAATATGCTTAATATTTTGCTGCTGCATACAATGCAAACTGCTAACATGACACTTAGTTTAAAATTGTTTATGGTTGCGCGTTTTGTATTCAATTAGGCAGACCACGCAAATATACACAGCGATATGGATTGAAAGAGCATTCACTTATCTTAGATGTTGATTTAGGCTGCGCTGAAGTGCGCTGCCAACTGTTACAGCAAACAAAAGCCAGGGGCAAGTTCAAGCTCAAACCGGTGCACAACGTTTTGCTACGGTTTCCGGTTTGAACAACATGTTTCCTGGAAACGGTGTGCAACGGGGTTTGAGATACATTTTCTTTTGTTTGGTGGGTGTGTCAAAAATGTCAGCCCAATCAGCAGCAACATGTATATAAACCACGCAGTATTAAAGAGACAGCTGGCACAATGTAATTAACATCAAAATAAATTCACAAGAGCAAGTATATTGTTTGCACATGTTTATTTACATTAAAGGCAAAATAACTGAAATAATACGAGAACAAGTATAGATCTGGAACTTATTTAAGTCTGTCTAAATATCATTTAGTATTTGCAATGTCTTCTGGTCCATATCCTTTCCTTAGGAAGGTGTGCTAGACACTGATTATTTGCATTTACTTGCATTATCTTTGTATAATATTAAAATTAGTTTGATGATCTGAATCTTTTAAGTGTGACAAATATGCAAAAAATAAAAAAAAACAGGAAGGGGGCAAAAACCTTTTCACACCACTGTATTTATATATTTTGCTATTGTGTTGTGGAGTGACACTTTCATAAACTTTTCTATACTATTATATAATGGTAAATATTACAATAACATAGCACAACAACAGTGATCAGCAATAATGATAAGTCTAATACCCACAATAAAAATAATAAGGTCATATAGATCATAATACAGTCTCGGAGGTAAGAAGTGGATTTTCCTTCACCTGAAATGTTTGTCTTTTCATCCTGAAATGTGAGGCAAATGTTGGATCACAATATTAGTAACCACCGTTTCCACAAATCCCTTCACTCGATTGGGATGTTCTCTTTTATTCTGGAAGGCAAGGGCAGTGACTGTAACATCGAGCGTATTTTGCGGTATAAAACACGTATTTATACCGATTTCATCAGGCTCCGAAAATTCTTCAAAAAGAGCACAAAGAATGGCCTTCTCAGCTGCCATATTTACAACTCTTGCGTCATCAGAACAGGGTGTTCAACGCACCCCTGTTTCCGTTTAAAAAACGTTTTTGCACCGTTTTGTCGGGGCTGAACGCAGCCCAGGTATTTGAATATTGAACAGCGAGCTAATTGGCAACCGATACAGGAGAGAACCAATCAGCTGCCATGTGACAATGATGTCATCAGGTCAGATTGAGCTAGACCTATCGGACTGCACCATCTAGAGTTTCATGCCAGAACTCTGTATTTCATTGAAGAGCAAACAATGGAAGATACATGTTTCAAATCACCTTTGTTGCTGAAATAATTACAGTAATACAGGCAATAATTGTCATGTTAGAAAATACACTTACATTACCTAAATTGCATAACCCACATAAAATCCATAATGTTTGTAAGAGTATTTACACAGTGTGTTACTGTTTCAAAAGGTATCATGATGAAGGTATGACATGTCCAAAAGGTTTTGTGCTAGAACAGAGATTACTGTCAATGCAGTATGACATATAACTGAATCTATACTGTAACTGAACTTTTTAGATGAAAGGTGATTTATAGTAATGTGCAGTCTCTACTACGGTAAAGACTATACGGTATCACATGGCATAATGTAATGTAAAATGATGTATTTGATGCCATCTGTCTTCCTTCTTCTGATACATCTCTGATCAATTTCTACCCTTGTATCCAGCTGTATGTTCACAAATTGCAAACCACACAGTTCTACAAATGAGGATATCCTCAAAGGGAGTTTTTTGGTGATTTTGTCAGGTTTTGCTCACTTCTGGGTACCAATTTGTCCCCAAAATATGGTTAGACACACACACAGGTATTCCTATCATTATGATGACATTTCGTAGGAGCAATGGGTTTTATGTTGAACAAATATTCTATCCCCCTACACTAACCCTACTCCTTAAAGTCTCCCACAAGGACAAGGATTTCAGATATTGCCATCTTTGTGGGGACATTTTGTCCCCATAACATAGGGTTTACCATAACCACACACATTTACAAAATAGTGGTTATCATCTAAGAAAAATCACTTATAGTGCAAAAAAATAATTCAATATATTTGGTTATCCCTGAATTGCAAACAAGTTCTTTAGAAACTATATCTATTGAATCTGTATCTATAGATATCTATAGATGCATCAAATGATTCACTGATTAACCATTAAGATGAGTCAGATTAAATAACACTGTAGACAAATTTATTAAACTGAATGAGAAGATATGCAAATGAAAAGTTTGATAATAAGAGCTTTATGAACGGCAGTTACTGTGAATGAAACATTTATATTGATCAAAAATTATTTTGTGTAGTAAAAAGGATACTTTGTGATTGTGTGTATTGTACTAAGACAAGTGAAAATAAGCTGAAATGTTTGAAAAAACTTTAATTTTGATGATCTTTTGTGATATTAGCACTAAGAGTTTTGAAAATGTAACAGTTGCATGTGAAAATAGTACCAAAGTTAATTAAAAAACTGTAATTGTAATAATTCTATGAGATTTTTGTTTGCTCAAGAAGTCTGACAACAGCCAGACTCCTTGTGCAACAGAATTGTTAGTTGCATTCTCTAATTAGCTTTTATCAATTAGCATACGGAATTGCATGCTTTTCCTCCCTTGAAAGAAGCGGATAGCTCTACATAGCAGCCTCCTCCAAAATAGTTTGCAAGGATAACTGATAAACATTGCATTTTGAAAGTATTAATGTAGTGTTCGAAATCTCATCCCAAGGGTCATTGCTACAGGACTAAGTAAAGTAGCATAGGCTACTGCATGACAGATTAATTAAGCACAATCTCTTGTTACAAGTAATTCTGAGCTAATGCTGCATGAATAACATTGCTCTTTTCAGTGCTTGTGTTCAGTGCGTTCAGAAGCATTAAAAAAGCATTAAAGACAAAACCCAAAATAAGCTATTGCTAAACATTTTCTTGATTGCCATATACATTTTATTTCATTTGAAAATAAGTGTTTAACTTAAAGGCTATTCACACATGATTCTCCCTGCCATTCTGCATGCAGAACCAGTAACCACAAAACCAATTTCTAGTAAAAATAACGTGAATAATTGAGCAAACAAAAACACTGTATATTTGTATGTTTTGTCTGTGCTCTTGTTTTTTGTTATAATTTGCAGCTATTCTAGTTTTAAAACTTGTATGCTCTTTTATGGATAATGGTTTGGAATGGATATTTTACATGTGCATTTATGCATTTGGCAGATGCGTTCATCCAAAGCAACTTGAATTGCATACATTTTATTGTTCTATGCATTCCCTGAATATCCACATCATTAGCTGCTATCAGTCCCTAAATAGAAGAATAACAAAATGTGTCATTAAGAAGAAGAAAAAAAAAGAACAAGTGTGCATGATTATGATCATAAAATGAAATACTATAATAAATATCAGTTTGCCATATCAAGCAACATAATGGACTATTTTTGTACATCTAAAATCACTGGAAGTGACTGACACGACAAGCATTGCACATTCAAGTTTATTCTATGCCCACTCTTATGTTAAAAATAAAGTGGATAAGGCTTAAATACTTTTTCACTGTTGGTTCTTTCTCTGTGATGATCATTGAATCCCACTCATCCATACAAAACCACTCACTGGAAGTTTATGTGGATTACATTGAGTAAAATGTGTATAACAGGGTTCCTCATTTAGGGCCACTGTCTTGCAAATTCAAATCAAAATTACCTGCCTGTAATTTTCTTACTCTGAAGACCTTGTTTAGCTTGCTCAATGTCGAATTTAAGGAATCCTGGTGTATTGACTCATTATCTCTGCCTTTTATTTAGGTTCACAGAGTTCCTGGAGCCTTTTGAAAGAGTTATCCAACCTGAGGAACTATGGCTCTACAAGAACCCTCTGGTGGAATCAGACCACATCCCAAAGAGAGTCATGTTTGTAAGTATACATCATTCAGCACATTTCAAAACAATTGTGCACTCATAATGGCTTTAGTGATGAAATCTGTGAAATCCACACCTTCACAGAATTCATCATTCACAGGCCTCTGCATGTTGCAATGTTTTATTAAATATTATGGATAATTTGATTATGCTTTCAGATACCAATAAGATTGCACCACTGCATAATCTGTGTCTTATTTACTAACCACTTACGTTGGTATAATTTAAAGGTGTATTAAAAGTCATTATCAAAGTATTTCATTATCCATTGTTATACAATACAATAAATAACACAAAAGAACCTTCAAATATTAAAATGCCTGTAGCATTTGCTTAAAATCATGGATGATCATTTGGGTTTTATGTCTTAGAGACTCCTTTTAGCCTTTTGACATTTGCATATAAATTACAGACATGGCCCCATATGCTACATTTATATGGGTGCTAAATTGCCAATGGTTCCCCCCACTATCAAGGAGATGCTAAACAGTTTCACCACTCTCATCTCCCCATCGAACTTCAAACAAATTTCAAATAGATGTAAATGACACAATACACATAACACACACACATAACAACATTTTCTTTATTTAGACTATAATCAATCATTTACAAATCTATCTGGTATATGCATGTGTTGTCTGTATGTTTCCCTATTATATTAGCCTAGTTACCACTTGTTATTTGTATTAGTTAAGATCCAAATGCTTATATTCAGGTGTATGAATGTATCGCTGGTTTAATATCTTCTAGATGTTTCTTTCTTGGTATCAAAATGATCTGCTCTTTATTCCTCAAACAATGATGTACACTATGTGATCGTGAAATGCATAATATTATTTGTACTATATTTTGGGTAAAACTGCACCAATCCTCCAGACTGGCCATAAAAATGCAAATGGTTCATAAAGGGAGACAAAGACACTTCTCCCGCTCAAAAATTCACGCCTGGTATTGGCTATTACACCAGGGGCGTGTCTAGAATGGGGGACCACTGGCTCAAAGGAGGGTGGCCGGGGGGG